TGGCCTCCCAGAGTGCTAGGATTACAGGCGTGAGCCACCGAGTCCGGCCAAATTTCACAAATTTTGACAAAGAGTTTTTACTGATTACTTCCATTTTTAGGAAGATTGGTAATCAGCAAAACTAACTGGTGGTGATAGAAAAGTCAGAGTAGTGGAGTAGTGATTACTTTAGCCTTGGGAAAGCTGGGAGCATTGGCCAGGAAGGGACACGGGGCAGTTGTTAGGGGCTGTGCGTGTTCTGTGCTTCTGCCTAGCAGTGGTCATGCGAGTGTACGTGCGTGTAGGAATTTGACCTGCAGTGCACTTAAGGAGGAAGCACACTGTGCTCCTTATTTGTTGTAGTTCAGTTAAAAAAAAACAAACTTGAGCTCTGACACTCTGAAGACCCCGGTGACCCCTCAGCTCTGCTTTGCAGCAGCCTCTGAACTTAGGGCAAGTCTGGGCCTCAGTTTCCTCACTTGTTCAAGAAGTTATAAGGCTTAAATGGAAAGTTTATATACAGCTGAGTAAGGGGTGGAGATGCAGTAATGAGTAAGACGACATTTTCCCTGTCCTTGCAGAGGTGCTGGTCTTAGGGACACTTCCAGATTTGCCATTCATTATGTTTTTTATTTTTAGGAGGTTTGCATGTCATTATCTGCCAAAGCATCTATTACCGAAAGCTGTTAATTTGAACTGTGTAAAACTGTCGTTTTGCTTATGTCAGAAATGGTTGAACCTAATACATCTGTTCAGATCTGTTCAAATATACCTTCTTGAGGTTTTAATTTGTGGAAAATGAATTTCTGTTAATTATGGTTTCTTTATGCATAAAGATCAGTGGCTATACCTGACAGGCATACCACAGACACTTCTTGTGTGCAACAGCTGAGAAAAACGTTGCCCCCAGGCCTCACCAGTAATAAGAGGGCCTGGGGAGCAGAGGGACTGCGGCTGCACCCGAGCTGCAACCACACGTGCCTGAGTCTCTGCCTCCCTTGGAAACGGTGGAGAAGATTGCAGCATTGTTTCCCTTCTGATCTCTGCTTGTGCTTTAAAAGTACAGTCCGACTGAAATGATAGAGACAGTGTTATGTAATGATGGAAATGACGGATAAACAATGGAATTGCTTATCCTATTCTAATTATGGTGTTTCTTTTTAGGAGCAGACATTAAAGACAAATTAAAATGTTATGACTTTGATGTGCATACAATGAAGACACTAAAAAACATTATTTCACCTCCCTGGGATTTCAGGGAATTTGAAGTAGAAAAACAGACTACAGAAGAAACGGGGCTTACGCCATTGGAGACCTCAAGGAAAACTCCAGATTCCAGACCTTCCTTGGAAGAAACCTTTGAAATCGAAATGAATGAAAGTGACATGATGTTAGAGACATCCATGTCAGACCATAGCACGTGACTCCAGACAGTGGTCCCATCTCGTATGTCCCAGCGTAGGTCAGTATTCCCTCACCTCCTTGCCAGGGCTTAGGGGTTTCCCACTTCCTAACAGGAACCCAACCACAGCCCTACATTTAGGAACAGAGACCTGTCTTAAGAGACTGGATCACATGCCTTTGCAACAGACATGTTGTGATTCCCTGAACCTACAACATAATTGTGTGTAGTGGAATAAAGAAGGTAAACCATCTCTTATGTCTTTTTTATCTTTCAGTAAGGTTTTATTTTGGACTAATTTTAGATTTACAGAAAAATTGCCGAGATAGTACAAAGAGCTGCGTGCCTCTCACCCAGCGCCCCCATTGCTAACGTCTCACGTTCCCATGAATGAGAAACCAACGCTGGTGGTTACTGTTACCTAAACGCCGACTCTATTTGGATTTCACCAGTTTTCCCTAATATCCTCTTTTTGTCCTGGGATCCAATCCAGGTACATGCTGCATTTAGTCATCACTTCTCCTTTGCGTTCTCTCGTTGGTGACAGTTTCTGACACTTCCCTTGGTTTTCGTGACGTTGACGGTTTTGAGGAGTATTGGCTGGGTAGTCTGTAGAATGTCCCTCAGTTTGAGTTTGTTTGATGCATTCCTCATGACTGAACTGGGATTATGGATTTTGGAATAAAATACCACAGAAGTGAAGCACCTTTCTCACCACATACGTGCTTTCTTATTTGTTACTCCATTTATAGAGCACACAGAGTAGATACAGCATAATTCTGAAGGGCCCTGGGATTTTTGAGAGTGGTTAGTGAGCACGGGCTTCCACTTAAGGTCACCAGCTGCACCAGCCCCTAAAGAGTCAGCCTTCCCTGTGAAGCTCTGCAGCCAGGCATTGACTTCTGTCGCTGTGAAAGTCCTGGGTGGCATCTTCTTCCACTGGAAGGCTGTTTCATCTACACTGAAAATCTGTTGGTAGTGTAGCCACCTTCATCAGTGATCTTGGCCTCATCTTCTAGATCAGCGCTCCCCAGCCTTTTTGGCACCAGGAACCGGTTTCGTAGAAGATAATTTTTCCATGGATGAGGGGAGGTGGAGCTCAGGCGGTGATGTGAGTGCTGGGGAGCGGCTGTGAATACAGAGGCAGCTTTGCTCACCTGCCACTCACCTCCTGCTGCTGTGCGGCCCGGCTCCCACGTTTTACGGAAGATAATTTTTCCATGGCCAGGATGTGGGGGGCGGCTATGGTGCTCAGGCAGTCCAGGCCAGGGACTGGTGGCTGTCCGCAGCCCGGGGCTGGGGCGCTGCGGTTCTGGGTAATTTGCTGCAGCTTCCGCATGAGCACTTGCTGCTCTACCTTCACTTTCATGTTTTGGAAACGGCTTCTCTGCTTAAACCCCGTGAGCCAACCTCTGCCGGCTTCCAGCTTTTCTCTGCAGCTTCCTCACCTCTCTCCGCCTTCAGAGGATTGAAGAGAATTAAGACCTTGCTCTGGATTAGGCTTTGGCGTAAGGTAATGTTGTGACTGGTTGACCTTAACTCAGACTTTCTTCCTATCAGCAACAGGCTGTTTTGCTTCCGTATCATCTGTGTGTTTACTGGAGAGAAAGCACTTTTAATTTCCTTCAAGAATTTTCCTTTGCGTTCACAACTCGGCTAACCGGGCAAGAGGCCTAGGGTTCTGCCCATCTTGGCTTTCAATGTGCCTTCCTCACTTTGGGGCCACTAGGTTTTCAAATATTTTTTCTGCCCCTCTCTCTCTTCTCTTCTTGGGATTCCCGTGTGTGTCTGTTGTGTTTGGTGGAGCCCCACAGGTCCCTTAGGTTCTGTTCGTTTTTCTTTATTTGTGCTCAGACCGAATAATTTCAATTGCCTATCTTCAAGTTTGCTGATCTTTGTCCTGCCTCAAGTCTGCTGCTGATCCCTTCCCGTGAAATTTTTAATTTCAGCTATTGTGGTTTTCAGTTTTGTAGTTTCTGTCTCTGTATGGACGTTCCCTAGTCATAGCCCTTTCAGCATATTTAATATGATGGATTCGCATCTTTGACAAGTCATTCCAACATCTGGGCTTCCTCAGTGACAGCTTCTGTCAAATTATTTTTTTCCTGTGATTGATCCACATTTTCTAGTTTGTGTGCTTTGTAATTTCGTACTGAGGACTGCACATTTCGAGTATTGCAATGCGGTAGCTCTGGAAATCAGATTCTCCCTCGTGGACTGGTTGTTATTTGTTGAGGGCTATGGTTGTCCATTTGTGTAGTGGATTTTCTGAATTTATTTTTGCAAAGTCTGTATTCCTTTTTGTGTGGTAACTGAAACTCCTGTTCTGCTGTCTCTGTGGTCAGCCTGTGACCTGACAGAGATTTCCTCAAATGTCTGGATCTCTTCCTAAAGATTAAAAAAGTGTGTATGTCTCTAAATTTTCTGACTGTGCTGCTGGGGAAAGTGTGCTGGTCCCTAAGGGAACTGCCAGACAGGCCACAGTGCACAGCGCCAGCTCTCAAGGACAGGTCCTCACTGAGAACAGGCTGCGGCGGGTGGGGGGTGGTCCACACGCCACCCCTTACCAAAGGGCTGCAGCTTCTCCAGCATCAGGCCTTCGCTTACCTGCTTTAAGCATCTGATGAGGTTACCGAGTTACAAAATGGTTGAGTCTGGTAAATTATTTTCCAGCTTAATGGTGGTTTTGGTGGAGAAAACAATCCCTCGAGCTTCCTGCGATGCTGCTTTCTGTGACATCACTCCTGTGTCTTTTAAAACTATAGCTAGATCTTTTAGCATTACTGTGGTAGATATTGAGAGAGTCCCATACAATTGTTTATAGTTCTTACCAAAATTAGACTTTCAAAGATCATAACAGTATTTAAGCCAACTATCTCAGCTAACTAGCAAGTACATTTTGTGATGCTTTAAAAAACCAAAACAATTGAACAAATATTGATGCTAAATTATAATTTTGTTCTGCAAAATAAGTGTGATTCACTATTGTTTATAAATTCTACATCCTATTCTGTATAAGATAAAGAATTTTGAGTTTTACCTACTTTCTCACATACTAATTTGATGACATATCCTTTTAACTGTTGGTAAATGTTATAGGCTCTCTTGGCCAGTTTTTATTCAATCATTTTAGCATCTTTTGTACTTTTCTCACATAGTAATAAGATTGAAAATCCATGTGAAATAAGCAGGTGATTATCAGTAAAGATGTATCACTTTTAATATATCATGGCTAGATTAAGTACTTTATGGGAGCATCTGAAATCAGTCATGGCAGGACTGATGGAAATGCCCCATTTGTTGACGTCAAGAAAGAAAAGTTCATACATAGTTTTATACATTTGGCTAGTGATTTATTTTGAGAAAAAGCATGTTAAAGTTTTTGCTTTTGAAAAAGGTTATATTTTAAAAAGTTGATATAATTTTTCTAAATCTCTAATATTTAAACGTTTTTTTTTACCTCTTCACTGAAATTAGCAAAAGAATCTTGCTATAATTCCTAGATGACAACTGTATAAGCAGGGAACATCCGTACTCTCTTAGTCATTCATTCTAATGAGAGACAGGATTTTGTGCTTCATTTGTTGAAAATCCTTTCTTTCAAATTCCTACTCCTAACTACAAGGGACACATTATCCTACTTTTTCATAGAAAAAAATGCTGTGTAGTTATTACAAAACATTTATTCACAGCATCACTAACAAACAAGGTATTATACAAAAATGAATTTTCCAGGCAACTGAAATGCTCCCTTAAACAACAAAACTTTTTATCTTAACCTATCTAAAATGTGTTCCATGCATTTCTACCTTCCTAAGCAGAATAATAATAGCTGTCATTTCTTGAGGGCCTCCACATGGTAACTCTAGTGAGTCTTTTGAGGAAGGCTTCATTTCCCCTGACACAGATGAGAAAGCTGAGCAGTCCCAGCTCCTCGTCGGGAAGGTCAGGTTCTGTGTTGGAGTTTAATGCAGTGATGCACTGAGAGGCCATGAGTTGCCCAGTGGTGTTTAGACTCAAAGTAGGGTGTTTTGAGTTTTCATCTTTCTTTTTCACAGGCTTTTCTGTCTCTCCTTTGTCAGGCACCACGTGTGCTATTTGTCTGCCTCGCTCTCCTTAGCTGGGGCTAGGAAATCAAGAGACTTGAAACAATTATTTTGAAAATAGCTAAAATGGAAGTATTCTGTTAATAAAGTGCTGAGGTTTTTCACATTTGGCCTGCCAGAGCAAAAAGTTGTTTTTAGTTTCCTCATTGAACCCCTGGTATGGTCGTCTAGGTTTCTGGGTAAGTGCATGACAGTGAGCCATCGCCATATTGACAGTGCTTCAAGACAAAAGGAAAAAGGTCCAGACACTGGATAAGCTGTAATTCACATCACTGTTACCAACGTGTAGGCTTCAGAGAGAATAAAGAAAAGGTTATCTCACGCTCTAGTTTCTTTCGTGTGTTTGAAGTTCTTGGGGAAAAGGTGCTATAAATGAAAGCACCTTTGAAAGTATACCCAACATGAATAAAGTAATTGAGAAAATGGGGAGGAGAGTGGCATTCGAAAATAACTTCCCTATAAACTGTTCTCATTGGAAGTGCTACTGCCCGTACGTTTGCGGAAGGAAAATGTACAAACGTGAACCGGGTTTTGAAGCCGCCCCGGTAGTTAAGAGCCTTAAAGACTGGCCAAGAATTACACAGCTGACCCTTGGACAACGCGCCAGGGTCCTTTTACACGCGGATTCTTCAACCAGCGCGGACGGCAGAGGGCATTCGCTGGCTGCGAACCCCCAGGCGCGGATTCTACGGGGCCCTGGGCCCGGCCCGGCCGAGGGAGCCCGTCTTGGGCGCCGGCTCTGGCGTGACCCGTCTCCAGGGAAAGTTCACGTCCAGCTTCACCGAGCATCGGTGCGTTCGTCCCGCGCTCCCCGGGGTCTGACCTGGCCCCTGGCGGCCTCAGCACGTCGCCCCCAGCCTGAGCGGTCCAGCGGACCTCGGAACCGTGGGCTCGAGGTCACGACCCGGCGGCACGTACGGCCACAGCGCCTAGGCCTGCGGGGGCTGGGGCCGGCGCCCGAACGGGGCGGGGCAGGAGCAACAGCCGCCGAGTTCTCGCGAGATTTCAGCCTCGCGCGGGCGGCGACGGCTCCGCGGCGGACGCGGGATGCGGTCTCAGGAAGGGGTTGGAGGCCCGGGGACAGCCGTTGCTGCTCGGGGCCCGAGCGGGAGGGAAAAGCTGTCGGCCCTAGGGGGTCAGTTCCGCCATGAGTCGCCGCGGCAAGAGCCTGAGACCCCGTCAGCCTCAT